GGGGGGGGGGGGGGGGGGGGGGGGGAAGTGGGGGAGTGGGAGGCGAATGGGAGGAGGGGGGAGGGGGGAAGTGGGGGAGTGGGAGGCGAATGGGAGGAGGGGAGGAAGTGTAAATTTTTGAATGAAAAAATAAATAAATTAAAAAAAAGAAATTAGTCAGCCCCCCACCCCCTCCAAAAAAATCTCAAACCACCCTTCTAAACAAGACATTAGGAAACCCATGAACATCACCCAGCTTCCCCAACATACTCTCTCACCCAGTTACCTTAGCAGCTGATCTTCCAGACCTGATTTAGTTACAGTGAAATTGATTATGGTGACTTTGATGCACACCTGGAAGAGAAGCAGAGAGGACACAAATGCCTAAGCGCAGCTGGCATGACGTGATGGGCTTCCTTTACGGGACCAGGATCTCCGCTGTCCGGGAAGGGCATCTCTAGTCTGATTACATACATGCCTACCCACACGCACCAAGAAGACCGTGTCGTTCAAAAGTCAATGGCTTCAGAATTCCATTCATGATTTTCTCTCCCTCTTCCCCTCACTCAGGATCCTTTGCGATAGCTTAAGGATCAATGAGCCAGAAAGGGATAGCAGCAGCATTTTAGAATCAACAAATTGGGTTTGAATTTCAGCTACACCCTGCAGTGGTTGCATGATTTTAGGCAAACCTTTCACCTCTGTCAGGTTTTCATTTTTGATAGTTATAAAGATTCACAGGGTATCTGTGGGGACTGGACAAGGTAATAAAATTAGTTACATATAGTGCTTTGCCCATGTCTGTTAAAAAGAAGCTTTATGGTAATAAAATGAGCTGCTTTACGTCTTCCATCTCATCATAGCATCTTTAGGGGAAACTATTAGTATACTCTCATAATATTCAGATTTCCCTTGAAAAAAATCAAGGGCATGGGGCAGGCATTTCTAAAACAGTTACTGGAACTCTGGCCAGTGAATGATTCTCTAAATTCTCTAGAGTTTTCTAACAGTATTTGGGAGTACAGGACATGGACATGTTGTTGTTCTGGGAACTGACTGGGTGGGGCATTGTGTCCTATGGCAGGAAAGGAGGGTGTCGGAGGGAGAGAAGGGGGAGCAGGAGAGGTTGTCAGCTGGTCCCTGCATGGGGGACTCCACCAAGCTCATTTCAGCGGCTCATCACACGGAACTCATCTGGGTGAAAGGTTCCAGCTCATACACTAGCGGCTCATACACACCTCAGGCAGGTAGTGTGGGTTCGGCATTTTTGTTGTCATATAGAACCTGAAGCTCTTGTCGTAATCGATGTCTGAATCTCCGAGGCGGATGAGTAGTCTTCCGCCACTGATGAAAGTTTGCTTTAAAAGAATGGGTTCCAGGGCTGGATCCAGGACTTCTCTGAGCTGAAAAATGGAAATGAACCATGAAGAAAACAAAAAACAAAACAAAACAAAACAAAAAACAACAAAAAACAAATGGAAAATGGATGCCACCAATTTGACATTTAAGAGTCTCAGGATTGACTTTGAATAAGTACTTTCCCAGTCATCATGTATTTCCTAATACCCTTCCATCACCTCTAACAGTGCGTGCTCTCTGATTAGTTATCACTTGCATAAGTGGTTAAGAGCACACAAGGGGACTGCCTTTATTTAGAATCATCTCACATGCTACTCATCCCTCTGAGAAACTATCTTAGAGAGGAACATGATGGCACATGACTGCCGGGTGACCTAAGCTGTCTACACACAAGTAGGTCTATGTGGTGATACCATTTTCTGCAACTTCCTTTTGATCTCCAATAGACTAAACTTTTGCTAGATCTTGTAGCCAAATAAATAATCTACCTCGATGTCATCTAAGATTGTACACTTAGTTGGTAAGCTTGTGGTGTAGCGAGAGACCCTGTTTCATAAACAAGAAGTAGACTGATAGAGGAGGACACCCAAGGTCAACCTCTGCCTGCCACATGCATGCACATATGACCCACATCCTCCCCAGCCCTCACACGGAACCCTGAGATAGACAAGACTGATTTCACACTGATAAGCAGGCAGGGACCACGTCTGAAAGGAACACTGTAGCAAATACAGAGAGGATCCAACAGTGAGCATCGTGGAGATGACTCCAAGCTCTGGAGAGCAGGGAAGGCCCACAGTGAGGCCTGGGAATGAGCAGTGTTGGAAACTAAAGACTCAGCTACAAAATAAGGTGGTGAAACCTCCTTCAACTAACGGATTCCAGCTCATCTGAGAATGTGCTGTTTGAGTAGCAACTGGTTTGACCAACTTGAAAATGGACTTGACTGGGGTCCTTCACATGTGCAGGTGTGGTCCATTGGCCTGAACAGAGAGCATGCTGGACATTGGATAGTTAGGAACTAACATGAGAGGGCAAAGCAAAACTCAAACCTCTTCCAGCAAGACAGGCAAACCCAGCCGGATAGAATTTTCTAGAATCCGCAAGAAATTGTTGTCTGTAAGCTTAATGACCTTTAGCCCGCTCTTGCTCTCCTTGTTTCTTATCCAGCGGTTGGCCTGTGAGAGAAAACACAAGAAGGTCCTTGCTTCTGAGTAAAACAAAAGTCAGGGAAGGGGAAGTTTCTAAAATAAAGTTTAGAGAGACTGTTCGACTACATTGGAGACATAAAAAACAAAACCCCAAACAAAGCGAAAATTCCTCTTCCCATGAAAATACCGCTTAAGTCCAATGTTTGAGCTTCCTCTTTTTGTCCAAGTTTAAAACAAAGGAAGAGAAGAGCAGCCTAGGAAAGCCAGCTGCCTGTCACTCAGGTCCTGAGACTTTCGCTGTGCTGGTCCTTGCTTAAGTATTTAGGAAACCAGACAGCAGGGCTCTGTAAATTGAAAGCAGGCTTGTCCCAATTCCATCTATTCTGACTTCAAACTGATTTCTAAGGCTTTTTAGGATAAAAGTATTCACGATCACGAATTTCTGTCAATTTATATGCTCCCTAATAGAAGACGGAAAACTAATGGCCAGTCTTCTAAATTAAACTAGTCAAAATGAAGAGAAAGCTCTCGGCCAGGTCCCTTCTTACTTTTCACAAGACCAAACACTTCTGGATGGCCAGGGACTCTGAGCAGAAGACTTCTCAGCTCCCCTGGTCTAAGTCTCCATGGCTATTCAATTCTGTTAAATTCCTCTCTTCCATGTTAGCACAGGTAGATAAATATTCAGCAGACGGCCCCTCGGTCACGAGTGTTTGCTACACACCTGATCTTGGGGATCAATCATCAAAGGCCACCTTCTCCCCTGAGTAACCAAAATGCCATTTTCCGTTGATATCAAGTCTCTGGGCAGCCCGTCAGTGTTCCACTGCCGGATTTCGTAGGGATCTCCAAGAGTGTTAATGAGACTGAAGGAAGGGTCAATCGGGATGTGCAGGACCAGGCAGGACTCAATCCAGCACTCTATAAGCTGTATAAATAAGGAGGAACATTCAACACACGGTGGAGAGCAGCAAGAAGCCAGTGCCTGGGGAGCTATGGTCTACTGATATCCATAGGGGACATGGAACAAAGAAGTGGCCTAAAACTCAGGGATCTGGCACCAGAACGGTGTCGTTAGCTATAACACAGGCATGCCAGCGTCTGTGTGGATTCCAGTCTTCTCATGTGAAGAAGACTGTGGTTCTCATGATGGCTGTGTGTACCGCTGCGTGATACAGAACTGTCTTTCCCTGCTCCCCAGCAAAGGACTATTCACACTGAACCAGGGGACCCCTGAGCACTTTCCGAGACTGGTGGCTCTTAGACCAGGTTCCACTGCTCAGGAAGAAAGTTATTTCATAAAAAATGGCTATGCAATTCTTCCCAAAAGGAATTTTCTCTAAAAAAGTAGACATGTAGACAGAATATCTGTGTTCTGATAATATATATATATATATATACACACACACATATATATATACACATATATATGTGTGTGTGTGTCCACATACATATAAAGAAAAGAACCCCAGAAAATGCAGATTCATCCAGTGCCTTGTTCCTTTTCATCTTCTCTTTGTGCTTGTCCCGCCTCTTCAAGAGTCCACATCTATGCTGACTTTAGATGCCACTTGTTATAAAGGCAGGGACCTCAGGGTATTCTTGTTCCCCCAGGTCATTGTGTTGAGTGATGGATAGCTTTATAATGAAGGAGGAGGAAAGGGAAAAATATGCTATTGGATGCCTAGGTGTAGATGGCCGGTCACCAGACAACAGGAGAGGTAAAGGCCTGTGTCTGTGTGTGTGTGCGCATGTGTGTGCGTGTGAACGTAATAAACATTTCTGCTCTGATGAACTGCCATAGTGGAGAGCTTCCATCTAAACCGAGGAAAACGGGTTCCTCGTGCCCCACCCAGTTCCCCCAGCTTCTTACCACTCTACACTTACTCACCAACTGCCTGTACTGAGCCGTGAAAGCCCCATAATAAGCCACACAGGCCGCTGCTATAAACACATTGCCAACGATGTTCGCTATCTCCTCCTGGAACTTCTCAATGCTTTCTTCCCACCGGACCTGCTCGTCTCCTAAGGCAGCTGTCAGCTTTCCTGCACGTACCAGGCGCGCTTTGGTCAGGGCCATGTTCCTTGCTGGACAGTTTTGGGAACATTGGGTCATATTAGTCAATATTTTCCAAATTAATTTTTATTTCTTTGTTTTTTGAGACAGGGTTTCTCTGTCGCTTTGGGGCCTATCCTGGAACTAGCTCTGTAGACCAGGCTGGCCTTGAACTCACAGAGCTCTGCCTGTCTCTGCCTCCCGAGTGTTGGGATTAAAGGCGTGCACCACCACTGCCTGACTTATTTTCCAAACTCTTAATAAGAGTTGACTTATTTGCTTTGGTTTCCAAAGGAGCTAGTATTACAAAGCTAGTGATGCCAGCTCATCTCCACAAAAGCTTACACCCGTTCCTTCCGTGTGTACATTTCAGAGCCAAGTCTAGTCTCTTCCCATACTGGGAACTTCCTGTGTGCTCCTTACTCTGCCTGAAGACAATGCTGTCTGTGGTCTGCGGTATTTATTGTTTACACCAAAGTCACGTGTTCTTTAGAGTTCTAACATAAATGCTCTACCAAGGGTTTTTGTATGTAAGATGGGGAATTTATACAGCATCTGCATCTTTCCCACCTGATACTAGAAAGCTCATTAGAGGACAGCGAAAGCATATCCTACTGGTTTGATTACAGCTGAGATCTGGGAGCTGAGAGACAGCTCAGCAAGGAAGAGTGCTTGCTGCTGCTGCGAAGGACCTGAGTGTGGGTCCCAAAACCCTTGTCAGATGGCTCACAACCCTGGCTCTGGGGCATCTGATCCTCTTCTGCAGGCACTGCAGTCATGTGCTTATACACACACACACTTGTAAATAAAGTAGGGCCTTTTGAAAGCTATGATCTGACTCTCTGAAAACTCTTTCTCCTCTTGAAAACCAGGCCTTTCCTGTCTGAAGTAAGTCTCAAGTCTCTTACCCAGACTTTCTTTCTCATTCACGCCTTTGTCGTACTCGTCTTGCAAAGCCTTTATTTGATCCTCCACTTTTTTCAGCAACGCTTGCTTCTCTTTCAGAGTGGCCATTGTAATGTCAAGTTCGGCCTAATAAAAGCAAGCAAGAAAATGGGTCCCCCCAAAATTGATTTGCCTATATATAAAACTGATTTAAAGTATGATTTATGTTCCTTTTTACATGTTCCACCTTGCACAGCTTGGGCTAGGGACGTAGTGTGGTGGGTAGGATACTTGTGGAACATGTGTGAAGCCTACATTTGATCCCTAGTGCTGGATAAAACCAGGCACTGTGGTGCACACCAGTAATCCCTTCACCTGGGAGGTAGAGGCAAGGGGATCAGAAATCCAGATAGCAAGTTTAAGGCCAGCCTAGGCTGCATGAGTTCCCCTCCTCTCTATAAAGTAGAATATAATCAGACAAACAAAGAACAAGAACAGTGGCCAGCAAAATAAGGCATATAAAATAGAGAAACAGATGTAGTAGTTACCATAATGGTGTATGATTTTAAATTATAAAACAAATTGAAGCTTCATGTATGATTTAGACTTCTATTTTCTAACTAGTTCTCTGTATCAGAAGTCTACCAGCTAATTAAGGCCCATAGGCCACAACTAGCCTATTGCTTATTTTCAAAAAAATATTTTATTGGCATATATGAGTTATATATAATAGGCTTCATTATGGCATTTTCATGTATGTTTATAATGTATATTTATCACATTACCCACTCTTCCCCATTACCCTTCTCTTTCCAGCTAGTCCCCTTCCTCCTTCGTGCCTTTTGTTTCTAATAACCGAATGAGTCTCATCAGGGTTGCTTACAGGACCCTGGGCACCACGCCAGTGGGCAAGTGCTTCTCCCTCCCCCAGAAGTGGGGGACCACTGTTTCTGTACATGCTGTGAGCTAGACTAGGGCTTCTTCTTTCTCCTCCTTCCCCACCCCTACTTCTTGGCTCTCTTTCTTCAGGGTTCTGAGGACTCAGAACTTTGGGTGCAGAAGACAACATTCTCACCGAGTCACGCCCGCACCCTCTAAGACAGGTCTTTCCTCAGAGAACAGTTTGAGGCACGATACTTGTGTGACACTAAAGGACAGTGTTCACCATAAAGTGATGCTGGACCCTCGCCATGCTTGTTGGTGCATGCATTGTTTACATGCTGGCTGGTTCTGTCGGGTAATCACAGCGCTGGAGCAGTATTTACTATCTGGACGTGCCTAGAAAGATTTTGCTCAGCCCTGCTTGATACCCGTATCTTCGGTAACCTGCTCCACCTGCAGGCCTTTGTTCCTCTTGGGAAGACTGAGGACCACATGTCTGATTGTGCGTTTAGTGGTTCTCACACCTGAGATGACCCCGCCAGGTGTGGGAATGCAGACCACCAACACAAGAAATGTCAGAAACTCCACCAGCATCACAGACGTCTTCCCCTTTCCCTGATACGAGGGAGAGGAATCTACTCAAGACACTTTCCTCTTACTTTACAAAAGGCTGACCTCAAAGATTTCTGGGGAAGAAATCTGCCTGCTCTTATTAAAAGTGAGTTACTTTCAGGACTGCAATCACTACCTCACTGCATACAAGAGGATCACAGCGGCTGCCACAGAGAGCGTGAGTGATGCTGTGTGGTCACGACCTTCTTCTATTCTCTGAAACACCACATTATGGACAGCGTACCTGGGCAGCTCTGAGTTTCTGCCTCTTCGGTTCAACTTCCTTGACCACCCGAGAGTACAGATCCATGGCTCTCACCCACATGCACATGGATTTACAGGCTTTGGACACCTTCTCCACCTTCTCGGGCACGAAGTCAGGATTGTGGATGTACTTTTGAAGCTTTGCCAGTATCTGAGGTTTGATGTTTTCCTTATCGTATTCTAAAAGCCTCCTCAGGAAGTTAGAGTCACCAAGAAGCTGCTTTGCTGTTGGCCAGTCGGGCCTGAAAGAGACCATGGGGAGCTAATGGCATTGCCATCAAGCAATGGGAAAACACCAAGATGAACTCCTGTGAGAACATGAGAACATGACCCCAGGAGGTGGGGAGTTTTAGTCTAGGCACGGGAATTTTGCTAATGGCCCAATTAATTCTTGGGGAGAAAGGCAACTGGATGATTAAATCTCTATGACTTAGATTCAGTAGAGAATGAAAAATAAAATAAGAGTTTTAGAAATGTAAGACATTAGAGAAACAGTAATTAAAAAAGATTTATATATTTTTAGTGATGTGTGCGTTGTGTGTGGGAATATGTATGTGTGTGTGTCCTGACTATGAAGGCAGAGACATGGGATCCCCTGGAATTGTTGTTTTGTATTCTTCACTCTTTGGCTCTTTTGGGGGGGCTGCCACCCAGCTCCCAAATAAATCACACAGAGGCTTATTGCTATTTATAAATGCCTGGCCTTAGCTTGACTTCTTTCGTGCCAGCTTTTCTTAAATTATTCCATCTATCTTTGGACTCGGGGCTTTTATCTTTTTCTATCTCTGTATAGCTTTTTCTTTCCTGCTTCGTGTCTAGTTGTGTAGTTAGGTGGCTGGCCCCTGATGTCCTCCTCCCTCCTTTCTCATTCCCTGATCTTTTTCTTTCCTGGATCTCTCTCCTATTTATCTTCTCTGCCTGCCAGCCCCGCCCATTTCTCTCTCCTCCCTCGCTATTGGCCATTCAGCTCTTTATTAGACCATCAGGTTTTTTAGACAGGCACAGTACCACAGTTTTGCAGAGTTCAACAAATGCAGCATAAACAAAAGTAACACACCTTAAAATAATATTCCCCAACAGGAACTGGAGGTCCAGGTGGGTGTGAACCAGCTGATGAGGACTGGTGCTGGGAACTGAACTCAGGTCCTCTGAAAGAGCAGCAGTTGCTTTTAACTGCTGAGCCATCTCTCCAGTCCTGAAGTTATGGTTTTTATTTTAAAAACACCATAGCACTTACATTTTATCTCCTTTGCTTCAACTTTGACCTTTAAACTGTCTTGCTAGGGTGTCTTTACAAATACATTCTAACTAAGCTGTGCATCTCTTAGTCAAACAAACATGTCCTTTCGAACTTTTGCCACATTGATATTCTCTCTCTCTCTGTCTCTCTCTCTCTCTGTCTCTCTCTCTGTCTCTCTCTCTGTCTCTGTGTCTCTCTCTCTCTCTCTCTCTCTCTCTCTCTCTCTCTCTCTCTCTCTCTCTCTCTCTCTCTCTCTCTCTCTCTCTCTCTCTTTCTCTCAACAGGGTTTTCTGTGTATCCCTGACTGTAGACCAGGCTTCACACTGATATTTCTAAGAAATTCTGACCATGTAGAAAAGATGTCCAGTGGTTCTTAGGTCCCCTTTGCCCATGTTTACCTGTGCTTTGCATAGGGCCCTGGTCTGACCATGGTGCCAGCATAAGGGCCTGTGGAAACATCTGGGGGTAGTGGGGTGTCCAGACTCTGCTCAGTTTTACGTAGACAGGTGTATATATACATATATATTTTCATATATTCATATGAAATTTTTAAAAGGGCATTTTTGAAGAAAATTTGAAAACTAAATGTCATCCAGACTTGGCATAACATATATATGACCTTTCATGAAGAAATCACAGCCTGTCTGTTCAGTTCCCTCCCATTCCAGGAAAACCATGGGTCTCTAAGCTTTTTCCAAGGCCTCATACCCAAACGAGCATCTTCTAAAAAAAAAAAAAACCTGCTCATGGCTTTGCCCCCCAATTTCCTGCATCCTATAGAAAATGTTTTATTTCTCCCACTCTCTATCATAAAATAGACATTGAATAAAATGTTTGCTGACTAAGCTTGTTGAATGACTATCTCAAACCAAAGAGGTAGACTGGTTAGAGAATAGAATGAATATACGGATAGGAGAATACTAAAATGGAGAAAATGCACTAAAGGAAGATCTCCCCAGATATTCTGAACGACTGACTTACTTGGCATTTAAGAGGATGGAGATGGCTTCCATCACAGTCATGACCAAATCAGGGGGCTTTGTGAAGACTCTGATTTCAGATATATCCGCTTTATCTAAGGAATCCAGCGCTTTATTGGCAGCGTCCAGGGCAGGGAGCGCTTCCTCAAGGTCTCTCTGGGCATCATCCGCTATCGCTTGAGTCTCTTCGGCTTTCACTTTTGCTATTGCTTCATCTTCTTGCACAACATTTCGGACCTAAGCACAGAATCGAGATTGCTTAAGAGGTCTCGTTAAGGCTGAGCATCCTTAAGCAAAGGAAATCTGAAATCTGAAATCTGAAATGTACAGAGCACCAAAGATCATCAATTCAATATTCCAAATATCAAGCAGAGAATTCCACACTTGACCTCACGTGATGGCGATAGTTGAGTTCAGGCAGCTAAAATGATTGTACCAAGTCACTACAATATGATGTTTATAAAGTGTAGACAAGTCAAATGGACTTATACTTAGATTTGGGTCTCTTATTGTATATTTTCTATTTATGCAGATATTTCAAAAGCTAGAAAAATCCAAAAGGTTTCTTGTGCTAAGTAAGCATTTCTGATAAGAGACACCTGACTTGTGTTTGAAGAGCCAGGATAATGATCTGTATTTGTCCTTTGTGCTGGACCAATGGTGAGACGGAGATATGTTTCATCCATCTTGTATCTTATGATAACATTAATAGTCACCGAGGGTACCAATTCGGTAGTAAATAACCATTCTCATTTGGACAAGTGAAATATATTTACAATTTAAAACATTACTGAATTTCTAGAAAAATAGCATTACTGATTGTGGTATCTATTTTAATGACACATATAATAAAATGATCTGATCACTTATTGTGATTGCCAACTTGACAGAATTTACAATCACCATGGAAACACAACTCTGGGCACATCTCCAGGGTTGTTTCTAGAAAGGTTCCACTGAGTAGGAAAGATGACCCTGGATGTATGGCACCATTCTATGGGCTTTGGCAGGCTGGGGTCTTAGACAAATAAAAATGAGAAAGCAGACTGAACATCAGTGCCCACCTATGTTGGCTTTCTAATTTCGGATACACTGTGACCAACTGTCCCACACTCCTGAAGCCATGGTGGACTGTACTCCCTCAAACTGTTAGCTCAACAAACCCGTCTACACTTAAGTTGCTTCCTGTCAGATAGTTGGTCACAGCAATGAGAAAAACGATACACTTTTTCTATGCAGCTGTTGAGATGGCAGTTGAAGCATTTTTATCCATACGACCATTCTCATAACACCAATACCTGATCAGCATTTTCTTGATCCACCACCAGCTTTTCCATCAGGGCTTCAACGTCTTGTGATTTCTGTAGTAGCACAGGTTCTAAAGCCGAAAGGTCTAGTTTCATTTTATCCACTAATATGTTTGTTTCTAATAGCTTGGTGAGACCATTCTTCACACGATCTCGTGCCTAAATGACAAAGATTTCACAACAGTGTTACAAGCTGTAGACTGCTGTCGATTAATTATTTACACATTAAATTTTATACGACAGAATCACCACACTATTGTGTAACACTTCAAGTTGTGAACCCATGACAAGTAGAGAAACCTACAGTTCCTAGGCAGCACAACGCTAGGAACTGGCCGCACGGATGACGGTGTGCTTGGCTCCAACCCTCTGCCTACAGCAGTGGGATGTCTCTGAACCATATGGCTCACTGATGGAAGGGAGCAAAGTCTCTGATTTTTCTTCTTCATGGTAGCATGTTGAACGTCAGAGATAAGTTCAAACAGGAACCCCTGGAGGCCTTTATTCTGGGAGCTTGTTCTCTTAGAGTGGGTCAAGAGCACTGAGGGCCTAGAGTCTTGAGAACTGGACTCTGATCACTGGGGTGAGAACCCTTATCTGGGATCACGGATGTGGCATATGGTACAGGAGACTCTGGAAGAAAGAGGAGGCGCTGTCTTGAAGGTGCATTGCAAAGATCATTGGGAATGGACAGAAGTCAAGGTGACTGTTGGGCTGGTTACCAGTCATGCATTCTGCAAGGCTAGGGCCCCTGAAAAGGTGTCCGCTTGCTGAGTCTAAAATGTTTGAGTTTTGGACCACGCTATTGGCTGCATGTGGAGGAGGATGGCAGCCACTATTTCTGGGCACCTTCCATGTCAGGCCCTAGTTTAAGTCCCTTGTGAACACTGTGCCTTATGTATTTCTTTTTTTTCCCCCTCTTTTGCAGTGTTATTTAAATTTCACAGCAATCCAAGTAGGAGCTGCAAGTATTTCTAAGTTTTTTTTCTAAGTTAAAAAAATTCTGTGTTACTTTTTTTTTTTTTTTAAATGAGATCTAATGTAGCCTAGGCTAACTTCAAGCTTGCTATGAGCTGAGGACAGCTTTAGACTTCTGGTCCTCCTGCTCTGTTGTTCATGTGCTGGTATTATAGGCAGGTGTGTTGCTCCAAGGTTAGGGTTATCTTCTAATCAAGTGCACAGGCCTTTCAGAGCAGGCCCAAGATGGTTATGTAAGAGGCAGAGTGCGGGTGGCATGGACAGTATGGGACAGAAAGCCCTCGGTCTTGGTGTTGACCATCAGCACATGCTGGAGCATTCAGACCTCATCTTGTTGGGTGTTGACCATCAGCACATGCTGGAGCATTCAGACCTCATCTTGTTGCTCATCAGTGCTGTCTTCTGTGGTAAAGCCCACAGTGATGGTGCGATCTCTGCTCGACCTCTGTGCTATTGTGTTGTCTTTATTCTATTGAGCCAGCAACTCATATATGTGAAAGAAGGAAGAGAAAAGAATATTCAGGAAGGGGGAAGCCCTTGCACCAACGCAAGAAGACACTTTCTTTGTGTCATTACAGGTTGTACAGAGTATGGTTTGGTTTGAAGATGGCTCTGAAGATAGAGGGGGATGTAACTCAGTGGTAGAGCAATTGCTTAACATTTGGAGTAAAACAGGTACATAGGTGTTTTAGTCACCGCCCCCCCCCAAAGATTTAGCTTTAAGACAAAAGACAAATTGTTTTCATGGACATGACTGGACGTACCGAAACTAACTGCTTCCTTTTCTCAGTGAGCATGGTCAGGTAGAGGTTGATTAGCTCCAGGTAGGAGGTGGGCGTGGTGTAGTAGCGCCTGCGCAGCTCACTGTAGTAGCGGTCCGCCATCTGGGAGACACTCAGGTGCACGTTCACACACATGAGGGAAAGCTTTTCTTTTAGATCGTCACTTCCAGTGTCGACAGCTGAGAAAAAGGTCTTTGATACAGACAGAAGTGCTTCTCTGGGCCACTGTAAATAAAGAAGGCATTAGAAAAAAAAAATCCTGTCTGTCATTTTTACAACACATCATTCAACAATTAGGAAACTGCATTTCTCTGGGACTTCTTGTCTGGTCCTTCCTTTCACCTAGTCTACTCCTGCTCCTGCCATTGGGGCTTCATGATCCAAAGCTTATTACTGGGGACTCGAGTCTGCATTTGCGGACCAGTTTGTCCCCAGAACGGCATCAAGAACATAGAAGATGCTGATGAACATTGACTGGTAGATGAAGGAATGGCTGGTTATCTTTGGAATTCCAGGCGTGGAATGATCCACTTTACAAGGCCTTTTGTCTTCGCCGTGGTACACAGTTGTGGGGTTGGGTCTGTCAAGGTAATTGCTGCCCTGCATAGACCCCAACTCCTTCCCACCTCTCTCACATCAAACTCTCCGACCCTTAGTCAAATGTGACCCTTAGTTACTCCTTGCTGCCGTTGGGCAGCTGAGTACATTTGGAGAGGAACCCCCATTCTCCCTCATGTTCCCTGATGGTGGTTTATTTTTTGAGTCAGGGTTTTTCACTCTGCGGCCCAGGCTGGTCTTGAAGGAAACACAATCCTATTTTTACCCTCCCTAGCACTGGGATGATGGCACCATACTTGGCTTGCTTTGCTTTCAGTTCCTGACAACTAGCCCCCGTGAGGTACAGACAGGCCTGAGCCTTTCCTAACGCATCGGCTTTGTAGTCTTGGGCTTTGGGCACCATTTCCTAGACTTACGCTGTCCTTTGTGGTACTTTCAGTTGATTGTTTTGCTTCCCACATGAATGAAAAGACCAGAAGCAAGTAACACTTCAGTGAGCTCTTACTCTGCCGCCACCCCAACATCTCCCCACCTGCATCCGTGCCTCTCACCCGCCCCTTGCCACTCAGGGCACAGCTTCTTCAGGGACAACCACGCCCTGTGCCTCATTGCCCTTCAATGAGGGTTAGGGTTGTATCAGTGTGTTTCTCTTCCTGGATCACGAAGTTTAAAGCTACCATTCAAAAGCACTTCTTTCTGGGTCAGCAAGTTGGATCAGCAGGTGAAGGTGGCTGTTGCCCAGTCTGCCAACTTGAGCTTGAGCCCTGGACCCACATGGCGGAAGGAGAGAGCTGACTCCCGCAAGATGGCATCTGGCCTCCATATTGTATGCACCCTGCCCCCTACATAAATAATGTAATAAGAAATTTAAAGATAGGATCTTCTTAGCCTCTTTTTACCCTTCTAGCCCTTACTCAAGTCTTTCTGTCTCCTTTGGGAAAATGCCTTGAGATTGTTCCTTCTACTACTGTCTCTGCTACCCCCTTTTGTTGAGATTTATTTATTTTTATTTTCTGTGTGTTGGTATTTTGCCTGCAGGTACATCTGTGCGCTATACTGTGCAGTGTCCTTGGAGGTCAGAAGAGGTAGTTAGATCTTCTGGAACTAAACAATCTTTAGCAGCCGTGCTGGATGCTGGGAAGCGGATCTGGGTCATCTGGAAGAACAATTGATGCTCTTAACTGCTGAGCCGCCTCTGCCACTCTGCCTCTTCTCTTTTCAGTTCTCTCCCCGACCGTGCCCTGAAATGGCTCTTGTTGGGACCATGATGACTTCAGTGTCAGTGGCCTCTTCTTCCTTTACAAACTGTGTTTTCTCCTTGTTCATGACCATCACCATACTCTTATGTCTGAGTGACTTCCTAGCAGCGTTTTGACCAAACACGAGTGTCCTAAGCTGTGCTCAGACAGCGTAGTAGCCCAAACAGGCAAATCTGTCTTCTCAGAGAGGTGCCTGGGTGTCACTAACCTGGACAAACCAGTCGATGGTGCAGCAGTTCACCAGGGATGGGAACATCCGGCACCGGGACCTGAAGGCCTCGCCAACTGGGCTCATGCAGAGAACAATGTGCAGCTTCTGCCGCACTCTGCTGATGAAATACTGGAACACCTGGTAGCAAAGATCAGTTTTCAGTTTGAAATAAGGAAGGGACAGCAAGGGCAACAAGTGAGGATATTATCATCAAATACAACTAGCTTAGATAAATGAATTGCCAATATCTTCAGTGTGGTCGACAAAATCTAGACTCACCCGGAGGATGATTGTGAAGGGTTATCTCGGTCATGTTACTTGATGTGGGAAGACCCAGTTAATTCTGAGTGGGAGCTCTTCCTAGGCAGGGGATCCTGGACTTTATACAGCAGAGAAGGGAGCAGGCCTCTAACACACACGCCTTTATTACTCTGCTTTCCAATGTGGATGTGATGTGTCCGCTTGCTTCTAGCTCTTGGTACCACGACTTCCCTGCCATGATGGGCTGTACCCCGATGGACTGTACTCCTGATGGGCTGTACCCCTGATGGGATGTACCCCTGAAGGGCTGTACCCCTGATTAGCTGTACCCCAATGGGCTGTACCCCCGATGGACTGTACCCCTGATGGGCTGTACCCCTGAAGGGCTGCATCCCTCATTAGCTGTACCCCGATGGGCTGTACCCCTGATGGACTGTACCCCTGATGGGCTGTACCCATGAACTATGAACTGGAATAAACTCATCTTTAAGTTAGCTCTGTTAGATTTTTTTTTTTAAATCATAGCAACAAGAAACTAGTGAAGACACTCATGCAGTCTGGAAATATTAAAATGGCAGCTTGAGGCAGATCTGGTGGTAGTACAATCCTGTAACCACAGCTACATGGGAGGTTGAGGCAGAAGGATTGCAAGTTCAAGGCCAGCCTGAACTACAGAGTAAGTCCAAAGTCGCACTGGGAAATTTAGTGAGACTTTGTCTCAAATAATAAAGACACAGTTTTGGAGTCCAGTGATAGATGACTTATCTATTGTGTGAAACCCCGGGCCAATGCCTGGAAGCCCAAAGAAAGAAAAGACATCTTGCAGTTGCCATTGCAACCTGAGCGCTGTATATGACTTCAAAGAGACCTCTTGAACAAAGCAGGGTGCGAGTCCTAGGTTTTGCTTTATTTAGGACAGAGAGCAGCAAGGAGTGAGGGGCAGTCCTGACATTTCCTTTTGCAGTTGTAGACTGAAAGAAGTGGCGTGGGTCTGGAGAGACTATTTTTGAATATTCCTCCTTATTTCGGGTGTTTCCTGCCATGGAGGGGGACACACTGCTTTGTGGCTGGCACCTGACACAGTGACTGGCTGTCAGCTTCCTACTTTAACAGGAAAGGTATAGTAGAGGCCTAGGCTTCCATGGCTGTTAACTCCACAATGTATGTGATGGTTAGTTTTAACCATCAACTTGACACAACCTAGAATAACCTGGAAAAGATCCTCAGTGAGGGATTATCCACCCCAGGCTGGGCTGCGGGCATGTTCACGGACCTAGGAAGACTCAGCCCACTGTGGGAGGCACCATGCTATGGACTGGGCACTGAGTTGCATGGGAGGGAACAGCGGACACAAACAGGCATCAGGGTTGTTTTTGTTTTCTGTCTGCTCTTGACTGTGATGTAAGGTGACCTTCAAGTACCTGCCCTGACTTTTCTGCTATCGGGGACTGCGATCTGGAATCACAAGCCAAACAAGTCCTTTTCTCCCCCAAACTGCTTCTGTCAGATTATTTCCAGTGAACAGGAACAGAACGAGGACAGTGTGCATTGTATATTCACTTCCAGGGGTCAGGCTGCTTCTCTTTCTCTGTCCTCCTGAGGTTCCTCCCCTCCCTAATGAATCCCCTCTGGCTTTCGTAGCAGCAGTAGACTTGCTGATTGTTCTTATCATCTCTGACCCAGGGCAGTTCTCAGGGGGACACAGCCACTATCCAGACATAATGGCCTCAAAGTGGAAGGAGGGGCAGAGAGAAGGGAAGGGCAGGGGTGCTGGAGAAATGAAGGTGGTAGCAGTTATACTGCTCCAGAGAGAGTAATCACATTTCTGTTTTCCTTGTCAGAACCTTGCTGCCTGGCAAGGCTATGAACAGTGTTAGACTTGCGCCTGCAGCCTCCCTCGGGCTAGACACTGCGGTGCACCTAACAAGTACAGGCTCAGAGAAGAATAAAGGCGGCTGACTATGGCTATAATCTCTGTGGGGGAGGGTTTCTGGTTTGTTCTAATTTGTGTTTCCATGGACACACTGAAAATAAAATACAGAGAATTACAAGGAAAACCATAGAAAAATCTTCCCATGGACTCTTATAGGTGAACTGTGGCTGCTGAGCTCAGGTAATCTCTGCTTAGAAAGTCCTAGAACTACTCTGGAGTAGTACCTCATCTCTGTTCCCCTCGGAAATTCCAACTTCCTTTGCTTTTGGTCGGGTGGCTGCTAAAACCTGCTCCAGCTCATCCTTTTCGAATAAATTGGGCACTTCACCCGAATTTAGAATATTATTTATGTCTTCAAGGAACTCTTCTACGACAATCTGTGGGGAGAGCAGAGTGGCCATGGTAAGTCCATCCAACTACAGTTAGTAAAGGAAGGTATCAAATATTCATTCCAAAACATACAGGTACCAGTTCCACCTTTAAAAGATGCTTAAACTGTAGCCAGCATCCTAAATCCTAACACAGTGATTCTATTGAGTTTCCATCTTTCTCTCTCATTTGGCCCCCTGAAGAGCATCTGCACCTGCTCCGGCTTCCCAGCTCCTGCTGTGATAAAACACCCTGTACCACGAGGGGCATCAGGAAGAAAGGGTTTGTTGGAAGTACAGTGCCAGGTTGCAGTCAAGGCAGGAACTCAAAGCAGCTAGTAAGTAGCATCCCTGGCCTAATGCAGAGATAAATAAGCATACCTTTGTTTGTTTGCTCATGCTCAGCAGGCTTCTTCACTCTTCTACCGTTGGGACACCCTGCCCAGGGCAAGGTGCTGCCCATAGTGGGCTGGGTCTTCCACATCAGTTACCAATCAAGACAGTCCCTCACAGACATGCTCACAGGCCAATCTGACCTAGAGAATTCCTCAACTGAAATTCTTTCTCAGGTGACTCTAAATTGTGCCAATTTGACAGTTTAACTAGCACAAAATCCTACCAATCAAAGTCATATATACCTTATATTATACCTTATATTATATACCTTATATTATATACCTTATATTATGCTCCATTCAGTTAGGATTTTGCTGTAAATATTAAATCACACCTCTGTATAGTATTCATATTAACCACAAGTATGGGAGCACAACACACTATGCAGACAACATTCTTTGTATTTCCATGGGCATAAATGGTTGACAAAGTTTAGTTTATGAGTTCATTTTTAGGCCTAGCTTTGCTCCTATTTTCATGGATCAGAATCCCAGGAGTGAGATTAGCATGTAAAGTGAATTAATATCAACTGTTTCTCATTTAGGCTAAATATGACTTTAGTAATATTTAAAATTTCCTTTTGTTAAAATTTGAGTTTTATAAATACTTCCTTTTGGAGAATGTAATCGGCGTACTTTTGCTCTTTAAGCAAGAGCAAAGTTAGCCATATTGACTTCTCTTAGGGAGGACTACCACAAAACAGCATCTTCTGGACACTGCGTGGCTTTGTGTCCATCACTCACAACATCTGCGGCTATCTGCGCAAGCCTGCATGCTCTCAGATCGGTCAGTGTTCAGACATGGATGGAAAGGGCGCTCAAAGCCTTGCGTCTTGCTAAGAGCCTACTGATCTCTGATGACTGGGGAGACTGGGTGAGTCAGTTTTTTCCCGAGAGGACAGCCACTAGTAGGCTGCCCATGCTTCAGTAGATGGCTGTACACCCATGCACTCACGGGTGGAACTAATGGACTTAGTGGGTTTTAAAAGAAAAAAAAAAGACATGAAGTTGGGCGGGGAAACAATCCTCTATGCTTTACCTGCCCTCGAAACACAGTGGATTGTAACAACCCCAAGTGTTCACGGGGGTTGGAACCCTATGTGTTCACTGTTTGAGTACGTACCTGGGTATCTGTGAAAAGGAAAACCATATTTTTGTCTTCCACACCAGCCATTTTGTACAACTTCCTCAGGTCTTCATGGAAACTGTCATAATTATACCCTCGGCTAAGTTCAATCTGCAGGCACTTGTAACCACATATGTGAGCTGCGAGTCTTGTAAGGGACTGCTTTCCTGTGCCCCCTACCCCGACCAGCAGGGCGTTGCCTCTTTCCTGGCGGATCATCCGTGCAATCCTGCAGGAAGCAAAGCAGAGGAAGATTGAGCTCAGGTTCACAGACATGGCTTCTGCGATACAGCTCACACATAGGCAAAACCCAAGTCTCCACCTAGAAGGACAAGCATGCACAACAATCACGGGATCTAGAAAAAGGCCCTGTGGTTCTGAAGAGTTCTGACCAGTCACTGTAGAGATCAACAACATTTTAGAAAGTTGCTGTTGTTTGAGTAAGAATGGCTGCCATGGGCTCATATATTTTAATGTTGGTGTCCAGTTGGTGAGACTGTTCCAGAAAAATTAGGAGGTGTGTCCTTGTTGAGGAGGTGTGTCATTGGGCTCAGGATATGTGATTTCAAAGTTCCATGTCATCTGCAGTTATCTCCACCCCCTCGTGTCTGTAGATCAGAGACAACCTCTCAGCCATGGTTCCAGCACCAGGCCTGCCTGCTCCCATTTTCCCTGCCATGATGGTCATGGATTCCAACCCGCACTAAACACTTTTCTAAGTTTCCTCGCTCGTGTTGTCTCTTCACAGCAATCCAACAGTAAGTAACACACTTGTTGATTCACTTTGGTGAAGATTTGAAACAGTGCAGTGGTCGCACTACTAGATCGGACCACCAAGAAGGAGAACACAGCCTGAGTTCAGGACAAAAATGGAGAGATACGGATACATGTGACCACTAGATTGAGAAGGAGGTTAGCAGAAGCTGAATATATCACATAGGACATCATGGGAAATGCAGCAGGTGAGGCAGAAGAATGCTCAAAGAATGCTCATAATGAGTGTGTGTGTGTGTGTGT